CAGCTTTTCAGTTGCACAAAGCAAATTTGGCCAGCGCACTCAGTTGTTACTTTCAACATGCCTTGAGGATTCATGCAAAGGCTCCCCCAAAAGACTCTTGTCAGCCTACTTGGCACAAGCAAAGATAACTTGTGATTTTCTCTGACAAACAAATTGCTCAAAAGCAGGAAGTCATTGAAGATATCAGAAAAGGTCACCTAAGCAAAGATCTCCTGTTGGGATAGGGCTGTTTGAGCTGCAAATACAAATGGTACTGGGTGTGAAACAATCAGATTTGATGCAGAACAAAAGTCTCTTGAGACCGACTCAGGTTGATCGAGCAAAAGCCAAGCTGCTCAAGACTCAAGGCTACAAACCGACCACCATTTCCAAAACTGACAAATTTTTCTTTGTGTGAAACAGGAACAAAGCAGTGCAAGGAAAGTGGTTCAAAAAAAAAAGAAAAAAAAAGAAAGAAAAGGGAAAAGAAGAGAAGAGCCGACAAAAGGAAGTTTTGCAAATCTTGCCTTTATTTGTCTTGCTAATGTGCATAAAATGTTTCCATTGCACTCATATTTTTCCTCCTAGGATAAAAACCCTAGTCTGATGGATTTTCTCCAGTAAAAATCTTAGTCTGATGAATTTTTCTCCTAAGATAGAAGACCTAGTCTGATGAACTTTCTCCTAGGATAGAAATCTTAGTCTGATGAATCTTTCTCCTAAGATACCAAAAAAGAAGAAGATAGTAAACCTAGTTTGATGAATTTTCTCCTAGGATCACAATCTTAGTCTGATGAATTTTTTCTCATAAGATAGAAAACCTAGTCTGATGAACTTTCTCCTAGGATCGAATCTTAGTCCGATGAATCTTTCTCCTAAGATAGAAAACCTAGTCTGATGAACTTTCTCCTAGGATCGAAATCTTAGTCTGATGAATCTTTCTCCTAAGATAACCAAAGAAAAAAAAGAGACCTAGTCTAATTAATTTTCTCCTAGGATAGAAATCTTAGTCTGATGAATTTTTCTCCTAAGATAGAAGACCTAGTCTGATGAACTTTCTTCTAGGATAGAAATCTTAGTCTGATGAATCTTTCTCCTAAGATAACAAAAAAAGGGACCTAGTCTGATGAACTTTCTCCTAGGATCAAAATCTTAGTCTGATGAATTTTTCTCCTAAGATAACCCAAAAAAAGGGGACCTAGTCTGATGAATTTTCTCCTAGGATCAAAATCTTAGTGTAATGAATCTTTCTCCTAAGATAGAAAACCTAGTCTGACGAATTCTCTCCTAGGATAATTTGAAAAAAAAAAGGATGTCTCGATTGAAAAAAAAAGCGTTTGAGAAATTTGTTTAAAAGACTGATTTTCTCAAAAAAAATGTTGTTTTTTCTAAAGAAAAAAAGAGGAAAAAAATCCTTCTTGGTTCATTTTAGCATAAGTACACAATTTAGTAGTCGCCTTTTTTGCCAACATTAGGGCTCCAATCCCTAAAATGAGATTTTTAGACATAGGGCCTCCATTCCCTAGTCGCCTTTTTGCCAACATTAGGGCTCCAATCCCTGAGTTGAGATTTTAGACATAGGGTCTCCATTCCTTAGTCGCCTTTTTTGCCAACATTAGGGCTCCAATTCCTGAAATGAGATTTTTAGACATAGGGCCTCCATTCCCTAGTCGCCTTTTTTGCCAACATTAGGGCTCCAATCCCTGAGTTGAGATTTTTAGACATACGGCCTCCATTCCCTAATCTTTCCTCCTAAAGTTACACAATCCTTATTTTATCACTTTAAAAAAAAGAAAGAAAGAAAATAGTTTAGATTTTAGTTACAAATAACTCACGAAATTTTCCTAGTGAAAACTCGGGCAGAAAATTTCGTTCATTTGTTTGTTTTTGGTGTCTGAGCAGGTTTTACCTTGAGACACAGGGTTCGAGATGACCAAAATATTGAGTCTCAATCCAGAATAAAGAAAAAGAAGAAAAAGAAAAAGAAGTGAACTCAAAATACAGAAGCGGAGAAAGATGCGGACTGCTCAAGATATAATTGAAGTCACAAACTTCGCATATCCCGCCTTGATCCAAAAAGCTGAAGAAGAAAGAACCAGCACCTGCAGCTAACAAGCATCAAGATTCAGATCAGGGTCCGCATGAAGAACCAACCAAGACTCAAGATCAAGCTTCAGAAGACTCATAGATAGGAATCTTGTAACTCGTAGCTGATAGGCTTAGTTAGTCTTTTTCATATTTTGATTTTGACGTAATAACGGGACCGCGGACCGGAACCTCGACGGCACCTCGCTCAGCTCTCAACCTCGGTACTCCATCACCTTATTCACTTCTGAACTACACGTGGCCTGATTCCTTTATAGCCAAGGATATGTAGGCAGCTCAGATACCAGGGCTCGGTCACATTCTCTGTTCTTTTAGTTTTGGTCTCTCCAAATAAGGGTCGGGTCAAAAAACCTGTCTAGTCATTCTTTCTCTGAAAACTCTTCGTGTTTCCAGTCAAAGAGGGGCAGCTGTAGACATGTGATTTTTGACCCTCCCCAAGATTTTTTATATTTTAACATGTAAATATTTAATTTAGGCTGAATATAGCTATTTCAACTAATTTTGACTCTTTTAATTTATTTCGTCACAAAATGAAAATCACAAAAAAAAATATTTTAGTTTACGTATCTTTGGTAAATTTAAATAAAAAATATACAAAAATAGTACCTTATCTTTATTTTTATATAATTTTGAAAACACAAAAAATAGTTTTATGTTTTATAGTTTAGTTCAATTAATTAAAATTAGTTTTATATTTTTATATTATAATTGTACATAATTTTAGAAGGAGGAATTAGTTTTAGGTTGGTTTATCCCGTCTTTATAAATGGGTTTTGACACAGTTACCCGCAAAAACAAAACTATTTACCCTTGTCTACCAATTTGTTTTTCTACCCATAAACTAATTATATTTCCTACCCATAGTAGTTTTTGTGGGGAATTTTTTCTTTATTCTCCAATTCTTTTTTTATTTTTATGCTTCTTTTCTTTTTTTTTTCTTTTTTTTTCTTTTCTCCTTTTCTTTTTTCTCATTTTCTTCCTATTTTTTTTCTCTTTTATTCATTTATTTTTGCCCAAATCGTATTATTGTTATTTTTACCATAACTTATTTTACACTCAAATTTGACTCTTTCTTTATTTTTTTATTTTTATTTTTTTCTTTATTTCTTGTTCCTTTTTTAATTCCACGTGATTGTCATGCAAACCTTGATCTCCTTCCCTACAAATATTAGTACATACTCTACCATTAGCAGTAACACCAACCAGTGACGGAGCAAGACAATATAATCTACGACCACTAAATCTCCATATATACTAGTTAGAATAGAAATGATAATAAAATATTGAAAAATGCAATAAAAATATAAGTAGCAAAAAAGACTTCTAGTACCACATGATACCAATATGGTATACATGTATACCAACGGAGTATATGATTGTTCTAAAATATTGCTACAACTATCTGTGATTATACTACTGTACCAAAACATTAAAGGATACAATAAAAGTATGAGAAAATTACATGATCGCATTGCAAGCTAAATATTCGCAAAGCAACTTACTCATTCCATATACTAACATGGTATATAGTTGTATGGGTCGTTCCAACAATTGCCTATAATTATAAAAACTATTAAATAATACACATAATCTATATCCATCAGCACAAAAATTTTCCAGCACTACAAATCACGTCATATAAACAATTTCATAATAGAATTCACTTAAAAATGCAGCCAAAACAACCAAAAAAAATGTTCAAACTACCATATGATACCAATATGGCATATAACTATACCAACATTGTATACAGTTTTACTGGTTAATTTCCGGCAACTATATGACTATACTACTATTACATAACACACATGCATAAAGAGAAACATAAAAAAATAGTGTACCACATATTAATGTAATAAAGCATTTCAAGATATTGAACTATATTACTATTATTAAAAGAAAATTAAATATTGTACTAATAAATGCTGCTAATACAACCAAAAAATGATTCAACTAGCATATGATACTAATATAGTATATAGCTATACTAATAGGGTATATAGTTGGAATGAATTCTATGCCAAAATGGTATATTTGTATACTATTTGAGTATACAATACAAATTCGTCTTTTTCTCTTGTTCAACTATATTTCAACCCAAACTCTAAAATCTACTACAAAATCTCCACCAAATTGACTAAAACTTTAGCTGCAATCTCCAATCAACTTTCCATACAAACCCATATAGGATCGGATCAAAATAATTAAAAACTCAAACAAACCAAGTTATGAGTTTCAAGCTTCAAGATCCTTCAATGGTGGATTTGAATTTTTGTACAGTAAATCTCCAAAAACGAGTTTGGGTGAAGAGAAAGAAGAAGGTATTAGTGAGAAACAAGTGTGAATTGCCATTGATGATAAACCCCAGAATACTACAATAAGAGAAAATCATTTTAGAATTAAACCCCATAATAGAAATGGAAACGAATTCAAAGTATTAACTCTAGAAAACTAATAGGTTTAGAGAAGAAGAAGAAAATAGAGGAAGAATGGAACTCCATTTACACCTCCAAGCACCAACCCTCTCGTGCTGACTTCCTTCCCCAATTCATATTTCGGATTGTTCTGCTTACCAGATTTTTTCCACTTCTATTTCATTGTAACTGGGTAAATAAGATTTGTTTAGATAAAAAGGGATTTTTCGAAGTTCACATCGACTAAAACACTAAAAAGATACAGTAGGCATACTTAGTGCATGCGTGCTTGCTGTAGTCTTTCCAATGTCTACCTTCCCAGCACGATAATCGTAGGTAGAGTCACCGGGTAAATAGTTTAAGCTCCATAGGTAGGAGTAGTAAATAATTTGGGCCTGGGCATAAAAGGGTAAATAGTTTAGAATTAATAGGTATAAAGTGAGATTTTCTCTTTATTATAAATCTTGTAGTCCATTTTTCTAGTCTTTGGCCCAATTCCCTAGCCCATAATCCCTAGTCCCATACCCCTAACCTAATTCCTACCCCTATATATAGTATCTAATACCTAAAATAAACCTACACACCCTAGACACCAAAAAACATTAGATCCGCCGTTCCATCTTCTAGACTACAAAAATCCTAAAGCTTCAGCACCAAGAAAGGAAACGAAACGAAGAACACAAAAAGAAAAGGACATCAGTCCTTTGAATTCAAAAAGAAAAGGAAAAAAAAGCACACAAAAATACACAAAAATAACGCACCCAGGGACACTGAAAAGGATTTGAGCGCTGTTACCCCATGGATCACGCCTTCTTCTTCTTCATGAAGAATGCCTAAGACCTCAAAAAAAACACAAAAATGGGGAACTGATCTGCCGTTTGGACCCATCGAGAACCCCCCCTCCGTTCTGCTTCTTCTTCTTCAACCAAACAACACTGATCTCCGCCCGAACTCACCTCTGAATTTCAGTCCAACGACCTTCAAAATACTACTGTTTCAGTCCAAAATCTAGCTCAAAAATAGCTGAAAATAACTTCAAAATCAGGTGGAGTTCATCTCCGTCGTTTTGGTTTAGTTCAAGTTTTCCGGTGAGCTTCGAGTCGTCGAAAGTTGCTGTCCGATTCTCCGTTCAGTTGCACGTCGATGTACTGTTGTTGTCGCCGGTGAGTTTCCGTTTAATGGTTCCGGCTCCGGTCAGAAATTCACTCTTGTTTGAATTTTGAAAGAAGCAGTCAAGTAATTGCAAAGGTCCGACTCTTACTTTAGTTCTTGAATGTTTATTGTGCGATTTTGCCTAATATCATGCTTAGTATGGGATATATTGCTTAATGCTCTGTTTAATAACGTCTTGGTACTGGTTTGATCCCTGTTGTTCTTGTTGTGAATTGCTCTGTTTTAATGACGTATGGGTACCAAAAGCCACTGTTGTTCTTGTTGTTTAAGTTCAATATGTATCTGGATGAGTTTATTGGCTTAGATGAATTTGTAAATTTCTGTTGCAATTCTTATTAAAGGATACTGTTTAAAGCTTCTTAATTAACTTTTAGTGATAAAGTTTGTACATGTGCAACAAACAGAATTTGGTTATGGAAACACGAGAGGTGTGACAGTTGAGACACGAGAGGTCGTTTCTTGCTGTCATATCATTTGCTTCATTGATATTCTGTACTCTGTCCTGTTCATGCATATTATATCATGCCTCAGTGTCGATTATTGTTATTTGGCACATCATATCATTGTACAGGCTAGTATCATGACATTTCGAGCCCGTGTGTGTGAGGTTGGAGAGTGATGACTGAGTGAGGCCGAGAGCCTGATATTGAGTGACAGTATGGGATCGCGCTGCAAGCCGCAGCGAGATATTGAACATGCCTTCGTTGGCTTTGTTATAGCGCTTGGGCTAAAGAGAGAAGCCCCTACGGAGTCTTTACACCCCCAGTTAGCACAGTTGATGATATTGAGGGATGGTTATTCCCTCGACATGGATCTTCTCCGAAGCATTTATATTTGGAGATGGATCTTCTCCACAGGCTGGGATGGCCTTCCTCGGTATTGAATGACTATTGTCAGTGATGTGTATATATTCCGGGATGGATCTTCCCTGGGTCTTGTGAGCCATATACAGTACCGAGTGGTTGTGAGTTTGTTATTGATATTATCTGGAGATGGTTCTTCTCCGTAGGCTGGAATGTCCTACCTCAATACTGATTGATTGCTATCAAAGATGTATATATTCCGGGATGGATCTTCCCTGGGCCGTATGAGCCATATACATTACTGAGTGGACGAGCATTTGAGGTTGTGGGCACATGAGGCACTCAGCATGGTGCATTTCTATACAGCATGTGCATTGACATGTAGATGTACCAGAGTTACACTACTTTACCTTGTTCATACTTGCTCCGTTTTACTGTTCGAGCTGTTTATTTAACTAAAAGCATGCATACGTTTCTGTACATTATTTCTGTTATCCTTGAGGAGGTTAAGTTCGTCACTACCTATTAGTCCAAAGGTTGGACTTGTTACTTACTGAGTTTGTGTACTCACGTTACCCCCTGCACCTCATGTGCAGATTCAGGCACTTTGGATCCAGTGGCGGATGTTTGATCGATGCTTCTGACTTAGAAGATTATTGAGGTACCTGCACAGCGTTCGCAGGCCGTGGCTCTCCACCTTACTTACCTATTGTATTTCAGTTGCTCCCTTAGACATTATAGTAGACTATGTATGTTCATTCGACGCTCATGTACTCAGTGACACCCCGGTTTTTAGCTAGATTGTATTTATTCTTGGAATTTCTTATGTTTCAAATAGTTCTTTAACTGTTAAAAGCTTCCATAAATGTTTTCAAACTTAATATTATCGGGTTGATTGTTGAGTTGAAGCTGGCCTAGTTTCACGATAGGCGCCATCACGACGAGTCGAGTTTTAGGTCGTGACAAGTTGGTATCGGAGCCTAGGTTACATAGGTCTCACGAGTCATGAGCAGGTTTAGTAGAATCTCGCGGATCGGTACGGAGACGTCTGTACTTATCCTCGGGAGGCTGCAGAACCTTTAGGAAAACTTCACACTCTTGAATTCTTATTGTGTGACATTGATTCAGCTTGAAATGTAACTCTTTGAATTCCTTCCACACATTCGTGTGCGCGCATGAGCACTCAGTATAAGCTGTGCACCGACGACTTGTGATTTCTGATCGAAGGGCAAGATGTGATTTTTGTGTGTTGATGTTGGGTCAGTCTGGAGGACTTGAGGCCGGATTTTGCTTATAGCTTGAGTGTTGAGGCATTGATTGTATGGGCACGTGCTTCTAGATTAGTATGTTTGGTAGTGTCCTTATTAGTGGAAGTGATGACGGGATGGCTATATGGTGAGTATGATGTGACTGCGAGATGTGTTCATATAAATTGAATGTGACGAGAAGGGTCTACTTGAGGATAGAAGGAACTATTAGGTACTTGATTTCCATCTTGATTTGATGTATAGCCCCGAGTTATGAGTGTGTGAAGGATCTTTTCATGTGGTCTAGTTGGGGAATCGAGTAGATTTCATATTACGATATGAGTTCAGACTCTGGAAGATTTGGTGATTGCATGATGTTTATGGCGGTGGAAGGGTATAGAGAGAAGTTAGTTTGAGGCGGAGCAGGTGGGTTATCTCCTGCGGAGTGTTCTGAAGTGGTGTGAATCATATGTTGTTTGTTGAAAGTCCTCTTTTACCAGTGAAATATATGTGTTGCAGTTTGAGCTTGGATCGCGTACGGGAGTTGTCTTGACTGTTACGAGGGTGAATGCGAGAATTGCAGGTGATTTAAAACACTAGGTGGTTTGTGTTACATGAACTTATGAAGGGTTTAGTTGAATCTACCTATGGTATTATGGCAGAAATAGAGTATGGACATTGTGAGTTTTTGGGTGTTTTGGTCTATGGCTTTGAGCCAAGTGGGGGAGTCCGCTATTGATTAGTTGATTGCACAGTTATGTGTTGTATTGGTTTCAGTTTGAGGTATATTACTGAATCAGTTGTGCCTTGCGGGGGTTGAAATCGAGGATGGCTCGAGTAAAGGAAAAATTTGGATAAGGGTTGTGTTATGCTTTATGGTCATACGAGAAACGTTGAATGAATTAGTTGTTATTGTAAGGGATGTAACGGGTATGAAGTAGGATATCACTCGGTTGCTTAGAAGGATGGGTTACTTCTTTAGGTGTTGCTGACAGGGAACAGGTCGTTCGGTTCGTTTGATCAGTGTAATTGAAACTTGAGTAGAGTGGATGACTCCCAAGAATGGTTTTAATGGATTCGAGACTTATATGTAATAATTGGAGATCTCCAAGGAGGTACATTTGACCAGAAACTGAGGTTTACATTGGAGAGTGTTAAGACTCGTGGCATTTCTATATCATTATGGATTCTACACACCAGTATCAGGAAGGTGAAGGTAATGGCTTTCGATTTGCAGGAAGTCTCTTCAGGGTGAATATTTTGAATGTGGTGCTTTTGGGAATGTTTAAGAGATTATTCATCGTCTTAGGAGCCTTAGACGGTGCAGTTTCATGCTTGAGTCTCGTGTGGTGAGTCTGGGTTGAGGATTGCGTTATTATGGCAAGAGGAAATATCACTTTGAAAGAAATTCACAAGTAACTTGGATAAATGGGACAACTTGGTAGTAGGCCGGACATGCATGGTAAGAGATATGATTAGTTCTTTGGGTGCTTATGAGGCAATGAGTTTCTACAGGTCTATCGCGGCAATGCTCTTGGGTTTTCGGTTGCTTGCGTGGCTTGGTTGAGTTTGGAGGATTCAGTTCTGACGGTTTGGTTTTGTGCAAATGGGATTCGGGGAATTCTTGATGGTTTCTACCACGGTTAGAGGTGTATAATTTCTACTGGCTTAAGGAGCATGTGATGTATAACAATTTTCCTCTAGATTGGATCAAATGGAAAGTTCTTGACTAATTGAGTACGTAGTTGCTTATGGATCGGAATGGATTACGGAGTTTTCATATTTGACATAGGATGGCATGGTATATGCGATATGTTGTGAAGGGTTGAGATTGCATGTATATGATCACAGTTCATTTCTGAAAGGAAAGTCATAAATTCTTAGGCAGCACGGGCAGTTTAAGATGATTAGGCAAATGATATTTCTAATTGATGTGGCTTGAAGAGGGCATACATTTCAGGAAGGGCAATGTGATTGAGTTAATGATACATCATTGGTGTTGCGGCGCTCTCTTGTTTGATCGACTGCTGATATTCATATTTGCTGGTGGCATAGAAGAATTTTAGGAGTATCCCTCGTGAAGTGATGGGTATTGGAGGTGCGTTATATCTTCAGACGGTGGAATTGGGATCGGATATGGTAATTCGTATGCTATGTGGATTTGGAGACTGGGAGTTCTCATAAACAGGCCATGTTGCGGTTGTGGGTCGCGTGTGTCGGCCTTGTGTGGTGACTATCGGGGGTTTTGAGACCCGAGTGGATCCTTTGTTTCTTAGATGTTAGATCTTTATGTGGTATTGGGTATGGACTGGTTGTCTCCGTGTCGTGGTATTCTGGACTGTTACGCTAAGACGGCAACGTTGGCTATGCCAGGGATGCCACGGATTCAGTGGCGAGGTTCGGCAGATTATGTTCCTAGTAGAGTGATTTCATCTTGAAGACCCAGTGGATGGTTGGGAAGGGTCGTCTTCTTACTTGGCCTTCGTGACGGATTTTCTGGATGTGGTTCCTGTGGCTGGGCATGCCGGCGGACAGGGTTATGATTTCGGTATTGATTTGGTGACGGGCACCGTATCGTATGGCACCGGCGGAGTTAAAGGAGTTGAAGGAGCGGCTTCAAGAACTCCTTGGTAAGGGGTTCATTGGTAGGCCAATATGGGTGCGTGTTCTGCCTCGAGTTGGCTTTGTTGACTCCGAGTGGTTATTGTTGAGAGATATGTTGATTCGATTGTTATTGAGTTTATTTGTGTTATGGAGTGATCTATGAGTTACCTTTCAGTATTGCAAGGCGTTATGATTTGTTGGTTATAGGCACATCTGGTGCGGTTCTATTAGGTTTCAGAGTGGAATTCGAGCGGGAAGAGTATTGAGTATTGCTCGGTGGATGGCGTATCGGTTGTGTCCTTTCGGGTTTGTGTGGTGTTACGTCATTTTCTTCACTGTGGTTATGATGATTTGCTTTTGGTACTAGACATCAAATTGCGTGTGGTTGTTGATTTTGAGCATAGTGACTTGAGGTGTTTTATGTGGACCAGTATTTGGATAGGGTTGCGCGTTGCAGCAAGATTATGTGGAGGTATGATCTTTCGGGTTAGATTCGTATATTCTGGTTCTACGAGGTGTGATGGGTTCTTGGCATGGTGTTGTAGTGGTACTGAGAGCTTGCAGTACAGCTCTTTCAATTGAGTCACTTCCCATGATTTGAGTATATTTGAACTGTTGCTAATTGGTGCACGGGTTGCACGGGTTGTGAATTGAGATTAGATTGATGTGTCATGGCACTAGAGGAGTCGTGTTGGATGAGATGAGGTCATTGAGATCTAGAATGAATACTCTCGGATTCGATTTCAGCATGTTGAAAGAGTAATATCGATGTTCGGTTTAGAAATTTACTATGGTTCTTGCCAAAGGAGAGGGAGCTTCATGAATGGTTGATTTGAGGAATGGTTATGACTTTCTGCGTATTTCGTTCATCATTAGCAGTATACGAAAGTGTTGGAATAAGGCTTTACTTAATAAGAGGTTTGTCGTCGGTATTCGGTTATTTTCAGCAACTGCTGTGATTGGAAGTTATCGCTACGAGTGATCGAGTTATGTGGTATATCATGTGATTACATCTGGGGTTACAGACATGGGTTGATACAGTTGGTTCGAACTTATTCAGTATATAGGTGTGAGATTCTGATTTTATAGATAAGTACGAAATTGGAAATTTGGTTCTAAGGTTCATGGGCTTGGTTGAATTGCTAAACTTCAGCCATGATGCGTTATCAGACCTATATGGGATAGGGTGACGTGGGATCACCCCCGGGTATGTGCTTGGTAAGGTTATACAGCAATTCTTTGGCTTTTGGAACAACTCTGGGCACGTTCGAGGACGAACGTATGTTTAAGTGGGGGAGGATATAACGACCCGACCGGTCGTTTTGAGCATTTGCACTTTGCTCGCCAGTTCTCCAGCAAGACTAGCACCGTATGATGTGTTATGACTTATGTAAATCGTTGGTTTTGTTTTTCAGGATGATCGGAATAGATTTGGAAGAATAATTCTCAGTTTGAAGCTTTATATTTGAATGGTTTGACCAAGTTTTGACTTTTTATTATATGATCTCAGATTTGGATTTTTATGATTTGGTTAGCTCCGTTAAGTGATTTGGGACTTAGGAGCGCGATCGGAATATATTTTGGAGGTCCGTGGAAGGTTTAGGCTTGAATTGGCGAAATTGAAATTTGGCATTTTCCGGTCGGCATTGGAAATTTTGATATCGGGGTCGGAATGGAACTCCAGAAATTGGAGTAGGTCCGCTGTGTCATTTGGGACGTGTGTGCAAAATTTCAGGTCCTTTGGACGAGGTTTGACATACTTTTTGATCGAAATCAGAATTTGGAAGTTTTGGAATCCTTAGGCTTGAATCTGAGGGTGATTTGGTGTTTCAGGGTTGTTTTGAGTGTTCCGAACGTTTGTATTAGTTTGAATGGTGATATGTGACTTGTTTGTATTTTTGGTTGAGGTCCCGGGGGCCTCAGGATGATTTCAGATAGTTTTCGGAAAGGTTGAACTTGAGAAATTGCAGCTGATGTTGCTGTTTCTGTCATATTCGCATCTGCGGATTGGGGACCATAGGTGTGAGCTCCGCAGGAGCGTAGGAAAGATG